GTCTGCAGAATCCCCTCACTGATTACACTGTAAATGATAATCTACCTTAACCACAATCAAAGTAGACTATCACTCACCCACACCAGATGGAAAACTCTACAGACTGTCGGTTCACACCCCATCACAAGCCAGCAAAACATCCATATATATATACAATGAACAGTAGTTTGATTACGGCGCAGTGCCCAAGGCAGAAATACAATGGCAAGAGCTACAAAGTCAGCGGTTGCAAGGTCTCCAATCCCACTTGGTTGGGTGGAGCCCCTGCCCTGTAGAAAGCACCATCCACAATACCAAAAAGAAAAACAAGAAAATTAATATGTGTTTTCTCCTGAACACAAGGGCTCCCATATGAGTTGGACCTATTCCTAGGGAGTGCACCTGCTGGAGCGCACCTGCGGGGAAGCAGCATTTTATTATAATAATATTATTAATAATATTATTATTGATATTACTATTTTATTATGATTATTTTTTCTTAACAAGGATGCAAAAACTCGGCTCACATCTGCATAAGCTGTGGGCTCTAGGTCGTCACTTTGGGTCAATGGCCCAAAACAGGGGTAAAAAGTCACGCCCTAAGTCTAAGCTAAAGCCTGGGCAAAGGCCTAAGGGGAAGGGCTACCCAGGGCAGAGCCAAAAAAAAGCAGCATTCAGAGGCCCTAGGAAGCGCAGTTGACTTTGAGGAAGTCAACGGTCAACCCCAGTATGGGAATCCAGGCCCAGAGGTCAAAGTCAACCCGCTGGTCAGCCACGGCCGTCGATCAGATGCACATCTTCGGTTGTCTGCACGTATGCGGAAGATTGCGGTCTCGCTGGGACAAAAACTTCAAAAAAGGGAATGGGGACTGCGTTGCATCCAGGCCATCGGTGGCTGATCCATCTGGGCCATCCACACAGGTAGACTGGGAGGCTGGTCAATGCGAGTCAACACTATAAAGTTGAACCAGCCCCTGCTGGTGAGGCATTCAGCCTTGCGCTGGCTTGTTGCTGGTGTGACGACGGAAGGTTGCTGGGGAGATTTATGCTGGAGGCAGATTCTGAGGGTGGGCGCCAGCCTTGAGGGAGATCATGCTGTCGTGGCCATATCCACATTGATTTTGACATTGATAGGAGTGTGGGCGAGGAGAAGGAGGATCTGGAATGTGCAGTTCATGCATGTGATGAGGGGAAGCTTGTTACCTGGACTTTTACCGTGACGTCGTGTGTGATATGCTGATCCTCTCCAACTTGAAGAAAGTGGTGAAGATCTGCGCCATCCTCCCTTTTTGCTTCTGACGTGGATGGAGGATGGGCGCCCTGTTGTAACGTGCTCATTGTGTATGTCAGAGATCGTCAGAGGAGAACCACATTGCTGGGGTGGCTAGAGAGGGAGATGCCCGAGGAGGGGCTATTGCTTCGTTGTTTCTTGTGGGAACTCTCCTCCTCCTCCTCCTCCTCCTCTCTCTCTCTCCTCCCTCCTCTCTCATTCTCTTTTCTGAGGTTTGAGATATTGGGAGATTGCATGCGCTTTGGGCAGGGATACATAAAGGATTTTTGGAGACATTATTGCTGCGCTGAGTTAGACTCGTATCACGGCATTCATGACCTTATCATCTGTCTGGGTTCATTGCAAAAGAGCAACATTTGGGCAGAAAATAGCAGGAAAAAAATCAGTAACTAGTGGCACAACATTTTAGTATCCCGAGCCAGGGAACATGCAAGGGCTGCACCCGACCTGCAGGTGGGCAATACCACCCAGAGGTCAGCCGGTAGCGTCACAGGGACCATGACCCCGAATGTGGCTGGCTGCTATGGGGTTCCCGTAATACTATAATGATAATAAAAGTCCTGAAAGGTCACCTTGTAAGATTCTTCTTTTTCTTTTTTTGAAGGCTAGAGACATTGAACTCCATTCCGAATGGACTTTTTCTTCAGAAAGCAATGGCCATTGCTTGTTGTTACCTTGTCTTCTTCTAGTAATTCTTTTGAAGCACTAGTACCTTTGTCGGTTCGGAAACCAGTGGGCCTCCGACCTTTCAGGAGGGCTGAAACGAAACAACGGCCGCCGATCAGATTTATCAACGGCAGCCGTTGTCGGGCCCGGCCTCCTAAAAGTTCGGGAATAGGCTAAAATTTGTCGAAACTGGACGGCAAAGGTACACGTGGCTTAAATCCCAAACAACTCAATTACCTGTCCTACATTTTTTCGTTTTTCTCTTTTTTCTTCTTCTTTGGCAAGCACTTGCTTGGGGTGCTCCGCGAGTTGGTTATACATCCACCACTTGTTTTTTCTTCTTTTTCCCCCCGGTTATACAGTCGCTTGGACATCTGAAGAAAACTCAGAATCACTCAGAGCTCAAATGTTCCTGAGGCAGTAGTGGTTACCCTTTCGAACAAAAAGGGCAATTCCTACCCCTCACGGTCCTCACCTGATAACCTGACTCAAGTACCGTGATTACCCTTTCGAACGTGACAGGTGATTGAACTGGTTGGGCTTAAACCACCACTACCTTTCACAGGCAAATTTGAAACCTCCAAAGACTGCACTATAACCTATGCAGAGGCCGGGCGCCATCGACCAAAACGGCTGGCGGCACCAGTCAAAACAAAAAGGAAAAGTCGCCCTGGCGCTTCGGCAAAGCTTGGCGCGCATTTCTTTTCCACCTCAGCAAAAGGAGGCTCGGAGGAAGTGGTGGAAAAAAGCGGATAAGCTTTCCGTGGGAAAAAAAGGGAGAATTTTTTTCGATATGCCCCTGAAAATTCGATTTATTCGCGGCATGGACCTCCGACGGCTAACTTACCCTGTCGTGCCTCTGGGGCCTTTGAACTTTCCTGCAGGCCCCTGTCAGTGAGGGGCACAACTTTCCAGCATGCCCCTGTGGCCGTTAGTGGCACTCACGGCCCTTCCCCTGGCCCTGGGAGGGGAACTACCGAGGCATACTCGAAATTTGGAACGGGTACCGGTAGGGGCATATTGACCATATTTCAGGCCCAAAAGAACTCCAGGGGTTTTTCGGAAACTTCAATCATTGCCAGAGGGGCGCGAAAGGGTAAGTCGGCCCACTTCTGGGCCCATGGATTGCCGCCTTTGGTATGATAATCCATGGCCATGTACATGGAACTACCTTCTGATGGGCCGCAAATAAATCCAACTTTCAGGGGCATATCAACAAATTTCCCTAAAGAAAAACTATCGTTTTTTTTTGGCCCCAGAAAAGACTTCCATTATCAGGGCCCAGTGCCCAAGGGAACATACAAGGCTAAAGGAAAGTTAGCGGCAGGCAGGTTGTCTTGACCCATCCGGACCACAGATCGCGGCCCCTACAGTCTCAGGCTTCATCACCCTCCAGTCTGTTGATACATGCTCAATCGAGCGATGTATATGGAGCCAAAGGATCCGCAAAGTGATGAAAAGGACTGGAATGGACAGTGCAGCATCAGCGAAGAATCAACAAGCAATGTACATCCAGATACATATGAAAATAGCACAATGTAGCGCCGTGGAAGACTCAAAGATATGACCTGACCTGTCAGATACTGACGCGACTCATCCATCACACATCACACATGTGAGAGGGGAGACCGCACTCTCATGGAAGAAAAGGTCCCTCCTTACACACATGGGGAGATACCACGGATGAGGTCAAGGAGGAAGGGCGAGACGAAGATGGAGATGAGGGAGAATACCAAGATTGCGATAGCGAAGTCCAAAAATAGTCTCCCGGCCGAATGTCCAATCAATGTCTGCCACAAAAATGTCGAATCAGATCCTGGGCCTCATAGCCCGATGTAACCTCTGCATGTAACCTCTCTCTCTCTCTCTCTCTCTCTCTCTCTCTCTCTCTCTCTCTCTCTCTCTCTCTCTCTCTCTGAAAGAAGAAGAAGAAGAAGAAGAAGAAGAAGAAGAAGAAGAAGAAGAAGAAGAAGGAAGAGGAGGAAGAAGGAGGAGGAAGAGATGGAGGGCAAGAACAGGAAGAAGAAGAAGATGTCGTCCTCCTCACTGCCTCACCTGCAGTTAACTGCTGCCGGTGTGTCTCTCTGTGCTGCGGGTCGCTGGCGAGAAGTGCAACTATGGCGCCCAGGTAAGTGCTCCGCCGCTTGAGGTATGGCTATCGCCTCTCTCCCTCCCTACACCTCCACCTTTAGTGCAGCACTGTATAGTGCAGCTCCAGCAGCGTGTTGCCCAAGAAGTGAGCTACTCGAACTGTCTCTGCCCAGGAGCTGGCACAGCTACAAATAGTGCTGGGCCTGGGTGTTGTGCCCACGACCTGTGATCTGGGCCGCGAGATTGTCAGTCCGATCCACGGTCTAGATTGCAGGAAAAAGTCCTGCTCCTGGGGCTGGCCTAAAAACGGCCCGCCCAGGTCCCTAGCGGACGTCCCAGCCCTCCCTGCTGATGCAGCAGGGAATGTCCGCTACTGGACAAAAACGAACCTGGCCCGAAAGGGCCTGGCCACGAATGGAGAAGGCTCAAAACATGGCCTTTGTCCGAACAGACCGTTTAAGACTTAGTCTGTTCGGACGTACTGCAAGTCCCAAACGATGTCTGCAACAGACAAAAATAGAACAGCAAATAAATAAATAAATAAATAAATAAATAAATAAATAAATAATTTAAAATAAATAAATAAATAAATCAATGCTGCCTCAAATCTATCCCTGCGGCCCCAAAGGCTGGCCGTGGGCCTCCAGGACTCGTGCCTAAATGGCGTGCGGCCTGGGGGCCCCCAGCAACCGACGGGCCCCCGAAACGGTGCCCGTGTGCAGGCTCAGCATGTAACACTATAGAACCGGACCTGGCCCCGGTATCTCAAATATTGTTTTGGGAAAATTGCATCTGTACCCCAATTAAGGATGGGAATACCGGCTACAGTCCCAGCGTCAACTTGCATCTATACCCAGAAATCGGCTGGTGGAAATTGTTTGCATGCCCAGGACCGAGGTGGACTGAGGTTGGCCCAGGTTGGTACTGCAAAATTGCAGTTATAACCAACTACTGGAATGCACAAGTTATGGACATACCCAGGCAAAATTATGGGCATACCCCGGACCTGAGGTGGAGATGCTCAAGTATTCATGTGCCCCGCTACTGGTGGCTCAAATTATGCTCATACGCAGCAGCCGTTGGGCCAGAACGGTCTCCTTGGCAGGCATGGGCATAATTTTGTGGTTGAAATTCGAAGGCCTGCAGATTGGGTACACCTACAATTTTGCACAGGGGAAAAGCTGCCAGTGGGTACTATGCAAAGTTGAACCACCTCCGGGTAAAGATGCAAGTTTGCACTGGGACTGGGTATGTAGCGGGTATTCCCATCTTTAAGTGGGGTACAGATGCAATTTTCCCTAGCTGTATTGGACCCCGATGGACATTTGTGAGGTTCTTTTCTTTTTGKGGGGGGGGGGGGGGGGGGGGAATTGCATYTGTACCGCACTTGAAGATGGGAATGCCAGCTACACCCAGTCCCAGTGCCAACTTGCACCTATACCCGGAAAACTGCCGGTTGAAATTATTTGCATGCCCAGGACTGAGGTGGACCCAGGTTGGTACAGCGAAATTGCCGTTATAACCAACTACGGGAATGCACAAATTATGGACATACCCAGGAAAAATTATGGCCATACTTGGGACTGAGGTGGACCGGCCAAATTAGTCATATACCCTACTACCGGATGCCTGAAATTATGCTCATACCCAGCAGCCGCTGGACCACAAGGGTCCACGTGGTGGGCATCACCATAATTTTGTGGTTGGCATCCAAGGCCTGCCCCTGGCTGTGGGTACACCCGCAATTTTGCCAGCCCGTTTCTGGGCATGGGCATAATTTCGTTGCCTGGAACTCAGGGCCTGCGGGACTGGGTATGCCTACAATTTGGCACAGGGGAAAAGTCGGGTACCATGCAAAGTTGAAGGGGTTCCGGGTATAGATTGGGCGCTGGGACTGGGTATAGCGGGTATTCCCATCTTTGAATGGGGTACAAAAGCAATTTGTCAAACAGCTAAGGTAAAGGCTACATTTTATTTTTCTTTTTTGTTGAAAAAGACACTTACAGCAAATTAACAATTGGCATGAAAAAGGCTAAAAAGCAGGCCCTGCTGATGTTCACAGGGGGAAATCCAGCGGCCTAGCTCAGTTGGTTAGGCATGCAAGTGGGTTCAAAGCCCATGGCCGCCTGCGGCGCACTTAGTGCCAACGGACTGTGATAGTCCTCTGGATACCCCTGATCCGTATTAGCGGGGTCTATGACCAACACGGGTGTGAGCGTGTGGGTTGTGTGTGGTGTGTGGGAGAGTGTTGGCCATAGCCTCTGCTGCTACTGGATGAAGGGTGGGGGACGATGAGAAAGGGAGGCACAGCTACTGGCAGGTCTCGGTCTTTGTGTACTGGCGGCCCCAACCCTATACCCTAACCATTAGGGGCAAGGGGCAACATGAAATCTCCCCTTCACAGAGAGAGGAAAACTATGCTTGCAGGGGTCCCCTCTAGATAGTCTTAGGAGTAGGTAGTGGAAGGCAAAACAAACAGAAGTTGAGAGAAGAATATAGACAGTTGTGATCACCCCAATAAAAAAAAAAAAAAAGATGTTCACAGGGGGAGGGGTAATCAGGGAGGCACAGCGGTTGGCCACTCAGATGATGCTCGGTCCCTCTGCTAGGGGCTGTCCCTTGGCGGGTGTCCCTATTGGGGGTTTCCTGAAGGCAATAAGGCCACCCCGGGCTGAAAAGGCCACCCGGTGTCAGATCAGACACAAGATTGAATTTACCTGGGCTGGTTAGGTCCGATGATAATACCTCAAGGCCCTCGCCCTTTCAGAAGGAAAAAAAAAACAACGAGAAAGAAAAAGACAACGGAAACCATAAAAGTTAAGAGAAGGGCGAGCAGTTATCGGTTGACGTCAACCGTGTTCGAAATGAAATGACGTCGACCTCAGCACCCGCTTTTTGTCTGAGAAGCTCGCACTCAGGGAGAAGCACTTTGAACGAGGATGACGGCCAGATTCAGAGCAGGTCCCTTTGAATGAGGATGACAGCCAGATTCAGAGCAGGTCAGGGTTATCATCGGCCACCAAAATATGTCTTGGATATCCTCCTCTACAGTCTCTACCATATCGGCTGCACAAAAAAAAATAAAAAAATAAAAAATAAAAATCATCAACCAACCGAAAAACAAAACGGAAGAAAAAAGAAAAAAGAAACGGCGGCCTCCGTTTCTTTTTTTTTTGTCCCCTTGGTGGTGCGGTGGTAGTTCGTCTTCGATTGCAAAGCACTGTGACGAAGATCGCGGCCAGATTCACGGCAGGCAGATAGATCTAGGCAGCCTCTGCCAGCCTGGTTATCTACGGCAAAATGTCTCACTGGACAAGTCATAACGGCGCCAGCGTGGGGGGAGGGAAAGAAAGGCCGGGAGATGGGGGGGGGGGGGGNGCGGGACTGGGTATGCCTACAATTTGGCACAGGGGAAAAGTAGGGTACTATTCAAAGTTGAAGGGGTTCCGGGGATAGATTGGGCGCTGGGACTGCGTATGTAGCGGGTACTCCCATCTTTGAGTGGGGTACAGATGCAATTTTGCCAAACAGCTAAGGTAAAGGCTACCTTTTTTTTTTTTTTTGTTGTTGAAAAAGACTCGTACAGCAAATTGACAATTGGCATGAAAAAGCAGTCTCTGCTGATGTTCATAGGGGGAGGGGTAATCAAGGAGGCACAGCGACTGGCCCCTCGGATGATGCTCGATCCCTCTGTTACCTGCTGTCCCCTGGCGGGTGTCCCCATTGGGGGTTCCCTGAAGGCAATAAGGCCACCCGGTGTAAGATTAGACACAACATTGAATTTACCTGGCACATTGGCCACCAACATGTCCAGATTCAGGCGTTGAGGAAACTCAACGCTGCTAGTGGGACTTGGCCCCTCAAGGCCATCGCCCTTTCAAAACCGAAAAAAAAAGAAAAACGAAAAAAAAAAAAAAGAAGAAGAAAAAAAAAAGTTAAAAGAACGGCCAGCAGTTATCGGTTGGCGTCAACCGTGTTCGAAATGAAATGACATCGACCTGGGCACCCTCAGCACCCGCTTTTTGACCGAGAAGCTCGCACTCAGGGAGAAGCACTTGAACGAGGATGACGGCCAGATTCAGAGCAGGTCAGGGTTCTCATCGGCCACCAAAATATGTCTTGGATATCCTCCTCTACAGTCTCTACCATATCGGCTGCACAAGAAAAAAAAAAAAAAAAAAAAAAAAAAAGGAAGAAACGACGGCATAGCGTCGCTCCGTTTTCTTTTTTTTTTTTTTTTTGCCCCGTTGGTGCTCCGGTGGTAGTTCGTCTTCGATTGCGACGCACTGTGACGAAGATTACCGCCAGATTCACGGCAGGCAGATCTAGGCAGCCTGGTTATCTGCTGCAAAATGTCTGACTTGACAAGACATAACGGCGCCACCATGGGGGGGAAGGGGGGCGAGGGTCAAAAACGGGGGAAACTGGTCAGCGCGCTTCATGATACGAGGCATTGAGGGTCGGGGGAGGGGCGGGCAAAGAGGGGTAAACGAGAGGGAAGCTGATGAAGCCAGCCAATCCGAGAGAAGGAATATGAATAAAACGAGCACGAAGGGTCAGCAGGGCCACAAGGAGATCAAGTGAGACAGCGCGCAAGAGAGAGAGAGAGAGAGAGAGAGAGAGAGAGAGAGAGAGAGAGAGACTCTTCTCTCTTATCTTCTCATTACGGAGGAGTTCGGGAGAGCGAGAAAGGCAGCTTGTGCTTTCTCATCTTGACGAACGGAGGAGGAGTTTGGCTGACTAGACTGTGGACGGGTCTGGTGAGCGTGACACGTTGCACGAGCAGCCATAGCTAGCCTGGCTTCGGAGTTGAGGCTAGCTCTGTCTGCGGGGGTATATCTTGTGAGGAGCAGGGTCTCATATAAGTGCCACCTGCGTGAACGTGGTAGAGGAGGGTGATTTACAGCACGCCGACGGTTGAGGGGGGTGTGGTTCCCGACTGGTCCGCTAGACTACTTGTTGACGTCACCGGAAAGAGGAAGATGTCGGCGTCGGAGTTGAAGGACAAGGCGCTCCAGAAGGCGCAGGAGACGTCGCAACAGGCGAAAGATGTGGCGGCGAAGGGTGAGGAGGTGGTCCCAGAGAAGGCAAAGACCCTGTTCCAACGCTTGAAAAGCATGGGTTACAAGCGATGGGCACTGGTGTTGGCGACGTTGGGAGGGGTGTTTACCGCTCTGGCGACCCCGGTGCTGCTGGTTGTCGGTCTGCCAGCTCTCGTCGTGGTGGGAGGCATCCTCCTTCTCTTCTCTCCACTCATCCTGGTCACCTCACCGCTATGGATTCCCGTCGTCCTCTTCTTCCTCACTGTCGGTGGAGGTCTGGCGGCGACTGCGGCTGCGATCTTCGGCCTGTGGTGGTTGTACCGGTATTTCAGGGGACCGATGCCCCCAGGCGGCAAGCAGATGTACATGGTGAAGGAGTATGTCAGGGGCGTCATGCAGCGCACGACGAGTACCATAGCCAAGAAGGGGCACCAGATCACTGACGCCATGAACATCACGACGCCCTCCACTTAAGATCGCATTCATCATGTTTTCTTCATCTTCGCAATAATGTTCCGGTACATCCGGACTCCACCCCCAGGTGGCATGCAGGTCTTCATGGTGACGCGGAGTATGGGAGGGTCGCACTAGAGAATTCTCATTCGTTTTCCTTCTCTCTCATCTTCGCAATAAATGTAACGGCACATCCAGATACCACTACCTCCAGGTAGGAAGGAGGTCTTTATGGTGAAGAAGCACGTGAGAGTCACACTGAAGAACGCATGCATCCTTTTTGTTGTCTTCCTCAACGTCGTAATAATGTACTGGTACATCCGGACTCGACTCAGTCTGTTACCAGGTGGCGAGGTCTTCATGGTGAAGAGGAGGATGTGAGGGTCGTCATCCAGCGTATGACGGGAAGCATAGCCAAGAAGGGGCACGAGGTCATGGATGATATTTAGGACTCGTGAATTCTTTTTCTCTTCTTAGAACCATAGCCAATAAGGGCAACGAGCTCATGTACCTACTGAACTCATGAATCATCCGTATCTTCCTAATAACTTAGATTCCATAGCCAAGAAGGGGCACGAGCTCATGGATCTTCTCTGGAAGTGACGCATCTTCATCTTCACTCTATCTTAGAACCTCAAGAAGCATAGCCAAGAAGGGGCACGAGGTCATGGATCAGTTTAGGACTCATGAATCATCTTCATTTACTCCTTAGAACCATAGCCAATAAGGGTGCTTACGTACCTTTTTAGGACTCGTGAATCATCCCCTATAGGATCCATATGCCAAGGAGGGGCACGAGCTCATGGATCTTCTCTGCAAGTAATGCGTCTTCATCTTCATTTAGAACCTCAAGGAGGGAAGGAGGGACTCTTGCCTCTATTTAGGACTTGATGATCTTCGTCTTAGCATCGTTCTGCATCGGCTTTCATGTTCATCGTCTGCTTCGGAATAATGTAGTAGGGTTGTCGAAATGCATGGGAGATGTGATATGACAGTGACAGTGAGGTTTCCTCTCTCAACCTGACGTCAGAGTCTCAGCCTCAGGTGATGTGTAGTGCATTGGTAGCGGGGTATAGACAAACTAATGAGTGGGAAAGTAGTCGACGAACGACGATAGTAGTGGCCAACAGGTTATGATCTGAGGTGCGAGCGAAATAACTTCGTCGAATAACCACTTCATAGATGCTACTGCCCTACACAGGGTTGAGAGTTTCGCAGTCTGCAGGGGTTCAGTTAAGTCTTCTCCCCTTGTCTGCTCTGTTAATAAAGCATTGGGTCTGGCTCCACTACACTGTACTCTAGAAAGAAAGGGTTTCGCAGTCCGCAGGGGTCCACCTAAGTCTTCTCCCCTTGTCTGAAGCATTGGGTCTGGCTCCACTACTCTGTACACTAGATAGATATCATGTCCTTGAAAGTCATATAGTCCCAAAATCGCTGAAATTCCAGGGGTTTACCTTTCCCCTTTGTCTGCGTCTGTCGAAGCGATTTTGACAGAGTTCCAGAGTTGCTGAAATTCCAGTGGGACCGGGTCCACTACTATATACTCTAGAAAAAAATCAATAGTCCTTGTAGAATCGCTGAAATTCCATGAGTCGTTTTACTTACGCTAGAAGGGGGCATTTTGACCTTGGCAAGCAGTAGCCTATTAACTACGGTAGCAGTGGACTACCGGTTTGTCCGCTGGGATTCAGGGTCCAGAAAGCAGGCGCGACATTCAGGGTCCTCCTAACCAGCCTTGTAAGTTCGATGGTCGCGCGGGCAGGCACTCGTAGAAGTATCTGGAGTGGAATTTGGGGCCTCGGTCGGAGGGGTCGTTAAAGGTGTTTTTGGAGGGCGTTCAAGGGCAAGATCCACTGGCAAAGAGGACTGGAAAAAGTGTCTGCATGTGGACGGGTTCCACGCAGCGGTGGACAAATGCAGATCGATGGTAATCTTGTGCATTTTTCCACAAACACGCCCAGATTCGGAGTCTTATTTCCAGAGGGACCTTCCCCTAAGAGTTGGTGCGGGCAGGGGCACTCTTGTAAGTCCAGGGTGCACTTTGGGAGCTTCTTACTTCTCTTGAAAGGTATTTTAAAGAGGGACTCTCAACTGTGGAGCGACTCCTACCGTTGACTTTGTTGAACGGTATCTTTAGAACCTGGTTTCGGAGGGGGAGGGGTACTAGTTTAAGAGGGCCTTGGTCCACTATAATACCACTCTCTATGCATTTGGAGGTTTTCTGGACCAATTGCATTTGAGGAGTCCAATTGCATGCGATAGGTCCAGATAGCGCCGGAATTTATGTCGAGTACTGTGTAGCGGAGCGAGGTCTAAAGTGTAGTGGAGCGAGACCTGTTGTTCCAAACGCTTGACCGATATCAGCGAGGTGTAAGTGGAGTCGTGGCGGACTGACATATGTAGTCTATGGTGTAAGTGGAGTCGTGGCGGACTGACATATGTAGTCTATGGACTTTTAAAGCCGTGGCGGACTGACATATGGAGTCTATGTGTAAGGTTAGTGGGGCGAGACCTATTGCTGACTTATGGACTTTTAAGGTTGACTCGGAGACCTATTGTTTCACCCTGGCAGTGACCGATGTCAGCTTTAGGTGTAGTTAAACCGCTTTTGGAATTGCCGACCTATTGTTCCAATCCCCCTTACCGATATCAGCTCTAGGTATAGTTAAACCGCTTTTGGAATTGCCCGGTTGATGTCAACCATAGTTAGTCTCAGTTAAGACCGATGTTAGGTTAGCTAGGGAGGGTGAGGGGGAGTATGCAAATGTGCTGTAGGTAGGATAGAGAGGGTGAGCATTCAAATTTGCTGCCTGTGAAGTAGTTAACAGCCTAGTACGAGAAACATCGACTGCCGTGGCTCAAAGCGGCCCACTGCTAATGGTTGAGTGATTGGTTCAGAATGAGCTGTCCTGAGAGTGGTATTTTCTTCAAATTGGCTGGCATGTTATTTGGTGATCTTGATCTGACCTGTCATGGTATTTTCAAATATGCCCTAGTGCTTTTTTTTTTCTTTATTTCTTTTTTTTGCCCTGCGGGGATGATGGACGGTGCACTGTTTTGTAGTTTGAAAGAGACATGGCACGGCATTTGGTCGGTCTTGATGTGACGTGGCACGGCATTTGGAAATGTGATGTGGCATGGCAATTGGAAATGTGATGTGGCATGGCATTTGGAAATGTGATGTGGTAATAAATTGGGAATATATGTTTGGTTGGAGTGTGCTGATGGTATTTTCAAATATGCCCTCGGGCTTTTTTTTTTCTTTTTTTCTTTTTTTGCCCTGCGGGGATGATGGACGGTTCACTGTTTTGTAGTTTGAAAGAGACATAGCACGGTATTCGGTCGGTCTTGATGTGACGTGGCACGGCATTTGGAAATGTGATGTGGCATGGCATTTGGAAATGTGATGTGGCATGGCATTTGGAAATGTGATGTGGTAATAAATTGGGAATATATGTTTGGTTGGAGTGTGTTAAGGCGTCGTGATGATTGACTATGTTCAACGAGAGAGAGAGAGAGAGAGAGAGAGAGAGGGAGAGAGAGAGAGAGAGAGAGATTTGGAGAGAGAGAGAGAGAGAGAGAGAGAGAGAGAGAGGGAGAGAGAGAGAGAGAGAGAGATTTGGGAAGGGAGAGGAAGGTGTTGTGCTGTTGTAGTCGATTCCTGAGTTTCTCTGTTGGAAAAAAAATAGAAGTAGTGAAGTAGCGAAGAATTGTGAAAGCTGTGATGATAAAATTTGCCTTGTAAGGCGTTATCACGATTAAGTTTGACTTTTGCCCGTGATATGCATGCATTGACGACAAGTTGTGATGATAAAATTTGCCTTGTAAGGCGTTATCACGATTAAGTTGATTGACTTTTGCCCGTGATATGCATGCATTGACGACAAGTCAGAAAGAGGAAGAACACCATGATGCTCCCTGACAAACACTGTTTGGAACAGAACTGAACACGGAAAAATAAATTGATACATGCACACGACAAAGAAGTCGGTACGACTCACTTAATCTTGCAATGCTTTTTTCAGCGAAGTTCAACGACAAAGAGCCAAGAGGAATTGGAAAGGGATTGTGAGAAAATTATCGAGTTAAGAGAGTCCTGGCGATGGTACACGTGTACTGCTGGAGATAATCGAAGCGAAGATGAGCAAGGCACACAGAAAGAGAGAGGGGGGGGGGGGGAAAGGGGCAGCTGAGGAATTTTTGGAAACAGCTCGGTGGCTGAGAAAGATGTGAAAACAGCTCGGTTAAGAGTGATTTCGCGGAGAGGGAAAAAAAAACGAACACATAGGGTGGGTTCCTGTAGTCCCTGAGGGAAAAAAAAACGAACACATAGTGTGGGTTCCTGTTGTCCCTGAGGGAAAGAAAAACGAACACATAGGGTGGGTTTCTGTAGTCCCTTTGTGGAGCTTAGAGGGAAACTTCCCATATTTTTTCGGACTTTTTCGGACTTTTTCTTAACTTTAGCCTATCTTCAGGGTTTTTTCAGCGAATAGGCTAGTAATTGCTCATGATCTTATTCTTCAGACAAAGATGGGTTGAAGTCCCGGACTCCCGGTATCTCAATTTTTTTTTCTGTATGTGCTCTCAAATGTGTCATGTTCCAAATGGGACGCTGTGCCCAGTTCCCAGCACGTGCGGCTCCCCACGAATAGATTGGAGCATTGCCGCCAAAAAATAAAAAAAAATAAAGAAAAAGGGTGGGAAGAAAAGTGAAAGATATGGTGCTGAATCTGCTGATACGTAATTTTGGAGCTGTAGATTATAGGGCGATAAGGGGGGGTTGGATGTGTTTCCGTTTCCGACAGTAAAGAATTCCTCGAGCTTAAAAAAAAAAAAAAGCAAAAAAAAAGTGATGATCCGTCTCTGTTTTTTTAACTAGTTTTCGGAGTTAATATACGTTATTTGGAATTTGGGAGTTCTAGGTAGTAGAGGGGGTGATACACTGTATGTGTTTTCGTTTCTGGAGTATAAAGGTCCACGATAGCTTCAGACAAAAAACAAAAGAAAGGTTATCTGTGTCTATTTTTCGTTTCTTTGTTTTCCCCCAATTCGCGTTATTTTCGGTCTTTATTACTCTTTATGCATTATCGCGAGTTTGAAAAACGCTCACAAACAATCAATCAGAAAATTTGTCTTTCGATGAACTGCCTTGGGCACTGATCCCTGTTTAAAAAAACAAATAAACAAACAAACAAACAAACAAACAAATAAACGAATAATCAATCAGGAAAAAAAAAAAAACAAATAAACGAAAAATCAATCAGAAAAAACAAACAAACAAATAATCAACCAAACACCAGCCCTGTGAACACGACACGAAGTCATACAGAATTCGACTCTGTGAAGGTCTACCATTTTTATTTATTTATTTTTTTATTACGAAAAAAACGAATTATTGCGTTTTGCAAAGTAGCAACAATTTTTGGTCAAGAATATTGTTTTAAGAATGTATACCAGGTTGACGAATGCTGCAGCTTCTTCAGACGGACACCTTCCACTTATCCGTAGGTATCCCGATCCGTTCGTCATCCCGGTTCTTGCGCCCTTGAGTCCGTTGTCCAGATATTGCATGTTCACGTCCAGATCCCATTTCGTTGCATTCATGTGAAAGGCGATAGCGTCGACCCCGGCCGTATCAGCAGGTAACAAATAATTCCAACCTTTGCTGCGCATATTTACAGGAACAGGGGAAAAAAAAAAAGAAGAAAAAAAAAAAAACACGAGAAGGTGAGGGAAAGGAAAAGAAAGAGGAATTTAAGGAAAAAAAAAAAAAAGGAGTAGTGTCAATTGTACGTGCGTTTCCATTCTTTTTTTATTATTATTTTTTTGGAGGGGTCATCATTTAAGGTCCAGTGCCCAAGGCAATCGCAGAAATGAAAGGGGTATACCGGCCTCGTTCGATGTGAATTACGAATTTTTTTTATTTTAATTATAATATAATGTCAATTTTGAATTTTCCATGGCTCCCCCCCCCCCTCCGCTCCCCTTCATTCGGTGTGGAAGCATCATGGGCGAAGAAGAAGAACGAGAAAAAAAAAAGCTTTTGAAAAAATGTACAGATAATCCACGAATTTTAAGTCAAGAAAGCGATATCAAATCCTTTTCACGAGTTAGCGGTAATGAATTCACGGGTACACAGATGAAAGTGGAGGATTGTTTGCAGGGACAAATGTGAAATTCGAAATTTGAAATACGAAATATGCATTAGGTGCTGAAAAGAATTACTTTGGTGAAATAAGTGGAATAAACTGTTTGCAGGGGCAAATTCAAAATCCCCCAAATTTCTCAAAATACGCAAATTAGTCCAGCTTAAAAAAAAAAAAATATATAGTAAAATTACGACTTTAAGGAACGCAGTGTGTAAGTGCAACCCAAACTGTTTTGCGGGGGCAGATTCCAAATTCGCATTTGATTTACCAATTCGACGTACACCATGACAGCACAAGTTGTTAAAGGGACCCCCGCTTTCAGCTACTTGGGTAATTTGCATGAAAGTGCTCTTTTGCCTTGCTGTTTTATAGTGTTTTTTTTTTTTTTTTTGGTTGCAATTAGATAGTGTGGTGTCCACTCTAGGAATTTGGTTAAAATGACCCTGGGGTTTTCTTGTAAATGGCATGACAGATTTTGTCTGAAAATTTAGGCCTCCGTTAAAAGCTTAACCTGCTCTCGGGGACAGTGGTCAATTGTTTACAGGGACGAATTCGAAATACAATGTACGTATTCAAAAAAATGGCACAGG